ACATATTACTTACTGAAAAGTCCTAATTTAAAAAAAAATTTCACAATTTGGTGATTACATAAACGCTGTTGGTAGTCAATGGCTCTTGAATGTGGAGGTTCTGGATATGTCATTGTTTTTTGTTTTTCCTCTTTCATGTTTTGTTTTCTGAGGTTGCTCATTGACAGCAACGTACTGAGTACTTTATGCCAAGATATCTTATGGTTGAATAGAGAATGGAAGACCAAGTTTTTCTAGTTTCCACTAAAGAGAATATAACCATGTGAAAAAAATGCCAAATATAAATAATATTGCATGGAATCATTTCAAGAGTAAAAGAAACAAAACCCAGAGATTGGCAGAATTGGTAAGAAAAATCACCCAATAATATGCTGGACACAAATATTGTGTCCAAAAATACAAATACATAAAAAGGTCACTTTATCAAGAAAAATAACAATTATAAACCTATATATAACAACAAATAAATGGAAAATTCTACAATAATTGTTGAAGACTTTAATACACTACAGTCAGTAATATATAGAACTGACCTTAAAAAAAAAAAAAAAAAAAAAAAAAAAAAAATTACACCCCTCTGCCCCACTTGCTTGCAGTATCCTTGAATCTTTGTGCTCTCACTGCAGTTCCCTTTGGGCTCCATGTTTTCCTTTTTCTCTTCCATGCCTATCTGGATTGCAAAGTTGAGTTCGTTTATGATTATAAAATAAAAACTAAATAACAAAAGAGAGAAAATATTACAAACCACTAGCAAATTAGATAGCCTAAATGAAATTCAGAAATTCCTAGAAACACAAAAATTATCTAACTGACTCAAGAGAAGACAGAAAATCTCAGCGGTACTATAACAGTACATATCTTGAATCACTAATTCAAAAATCTTTGAAAAAAGACATGCCAGGACCAGATGGCTTCACTGGGGAATTCTACCAAACTCTTAAAGAAAACTGTATCAATTGTTCTTGGGCTCTTAAAGAAAATAAACAGAAGAGAGGAAACAGTTCTAAACTCATTCTATGGGGCCAAAATTGTCCTGATATCAAAGCTAGATAAATACATCACAAGAAAATAAAACTGCACCAATGCCTTTTTTTTTCAATACCTTTTTTATACATATACTATGTATGTGTGTGTGTGTGTGCGCACATGTGTATCTGTGATAGCCATATATATACATATATATGAAAAAGCTATATATATATATATATATATATATATATACACAAATCCACAACATAATAGTAGCAAAAGAAGTGCAACAGTATAGTGAAAGGATGATATACAATGACCAAGTAGGATTCATCCCAAGAATGCTATGGTAATTACAGATCAAAAACCATCTAAAATCAATGAATACAATACAACACAATATAATAAAGGAAAACAAAGCACATACGATAATCTCAATGCCAAAAAGCCATTTCATAAAATCCAACAATCCTTCATGATGAAAACACTAGAAAACCACAGCAAAAGGGAACTTCCTTAACATGGCAAAGATCATTTATGAAAAACCTACAGTTTACATCATATTCATCATGAAATATGAAAGCTTTTGTTTAATATTAATAGCAAGACAAAGAGATATCAATTTTCACCACTGCTGTTTAATATTCTACTGGACTTCTAGCCAGAGAAATTAGACAAGAAAAGGAAATAAAGGGCATCCAAATTGGAAAAGAAAAAGCAAACTATCTCTATTCACAGATGACATAACGAAATTCCCCAAGAATTGACAAGAAAGCTGCTAGAGCTATTCAACTCATTCAGCCATGTTCCCGAGTACAAGATCACATGATTTTACATGTGATCTTGTACCCCGGAACATGGCTGAATGTGTTTCTAAATAGCAGCAAAACCTTGTTAAAAAAAATTATAATGACACAAATCAATGGAAAGACATCCGACATTCATGGATTGGAAGTTTTAATATTGACATGTTAATACTACCCAAAGCAATGTACAGATTCAATAGTCTCTACAAAAATTCCAACAGATTCATTGCCAAAATGAAAAAGCTAAACTTCAAATGAATATGAAAGTGTCAGGGGCCTTGACTAGACAAAACAACCTTGAAAGAGAATGAAGTTAGTGGACTCACAATTCCTGATTTTAAGGCTTACAATGCTATAATATTCAAAACACCATAATACATTCCAATGGAATGCAATAGAGATCCAAGAAATAACTCTTACATTGTTGACCAATTATTTTTTGTTAGGACTGTCAAATTAAATGATAAAATAACAATATCTTCAACAGACAGTGCTGGGACAACTGAATTTTCACATTTAAAAAATAAAGTTGGACCTCTACCTCACACTATTTACAAAAATTAACTCAAAACTAATTGATCACCTAAATGTGATCACCATTGGCTTATGCACGTATCCTGTACAACCCTTAGAGGAAAACACAGGGGTAAATCTTCATGATTTTGAATTGGGAAATAGGTTCTTAAATGTGACACCAAAAGTATAGAAACAAAAGAAAAAAATACAATCAGACTCATAAAAATTTAAAAAATTCATTAAAGTATATTATTAAGAATGTAAGACAATATACAAAATGGGAAAAGTATTTGCTAATCATATATCTGATAAAGGACTCATATCCTGAATATATAAATAACAACCAAAAGTCAACACAATTTTAAAATGGGAAAATGTTGAGTAGACATTTTTCAAAAGAATATATACAAATGATCAATAAGCACATAAAATAATGCTAAATATAATTCAGTATTAGGAAAATGCAAATCAAAACAAAAAACAATAAAAAATTAAAAATTTAGAGAAACTGAAACCCTAACACTCTCACAAATTAGTGGAATAGATCTAAAATGGTATAGCTATGGTATAAAATACATTGACACTTCCTTAAAACAACTTAACAAAAAACTAAAAATTAAACTCATCATTTGACCTAGCAATTCCACTGCTAGATATATAACCAGAAGAATTGAAAAGAAACAAACTTAAATAGGTACCTGTACACTGACGTTCAATGCAGCATTGCAGCGTTATTTGCAGTTGCCAAAGGTGGAAACAACAAAACTATTCATCAAAAGATGAATGGATAAACAAAATATGATACATAAAATATTATTACATCATAAGGGGAGGTGAAGATCTGAGGCATACTTCAACATGGGTGAGCCTTGGAAATATTACAAGAAGTGGAATAAATTAGATATGAGATGGCAAATATTGTATGAATCAACTTACACGAAATATCTAGAATAGGCATATCAGAGAAAAAAAAGTAGATCAGAGTTTATTAAAGACTGGGAGAGAGAAGGAATGAGTATTATTTGCTAAATGGGTACAGAGTTTGTATTTGGGTCATACAGAAATATTTAAGTGGTTTTTAAGAAATATTTAAAATAGAGGGTGATGATTGCACAACATTGTGAATGTAATTAACACTATTGGCTTGTACACTTAAAACGGTTAAAATGTCAAATTTTATGTTATATATTTTCCACAGTAAAATCTTCTTTTAAAAAATTAGTGTAGATAGCCTCCCTATATATTGTAATTTTGTATTAAATAAAACAATCAGGTGCTGGGGACTTTCACTGGTACTATACTTTTACTCTTACTCTCGTACACAAAAATGTGTACCTCATTTGCATTTTAAAATAGATTCATATATCTCAATACACTCATGTGCACACAAAATGTATGAATATATTTTGGAAATATTAATAAATAAAACTTGAATAACTTTCTGGAACAAGTACAACAGAGTGAAGAAATAACCTGAGTTTATGAGTATATTTTAGAAAAAAAATTTTAAAAAGTGTCTTAAAACATTTCATATATATAAAAAGGGATATTTTGTGACTTCACTGTCAGTTAAAACTTGTAAAACACCTAGTTGCCGAGCTACAAAATTACACATAAAAAATAAAAGTTATTTAGTTTTATTTTCATGTGTGTTATTCCTTTTAATATAACAGTTCTTTATTACCATCTTTTAGTTCTACAAATTACTCCAAATTTTAAAAATCACTATTTTAGATTTTCAAAAGAGGAACTTATACTTTTCAGTCTACTTTCACACCTCCTAAGCTATACCTCTATTGCATTCAAAACACTTTTATTTGAAATTCTTGTGCGTGTTTTACAATATGCTTTGCATTAGATATACCATAAGCTGTTTGTATTTATGCTTACATATTTTAGCAGCTTGATTACTTCCAAAATTGCCCAGGAATATAGAGTAAAAGGAATGATATAAATGGTTTACAATCTATGTCCATTAACATTATCACTGAGACTTGTTACTATAGATTAGCTCATTTCTGTATCTTACAATATTTGCAGCTAAAATAATTTGCTCTTATTTTAAAAATATAATTATGCCACTTTTTTGTGAACTTTATGTTTTTATAGAACTTTATTTGTGAGTGATCATTAATCTCATTTAGTTATGGGTATACACCTATGTTCTCTTAATCTCCTTAATATAAGAAGTAAATATCATTCCATAAAAACAATTGATTCTTGCATACCTTGAGAATCAGAGTCTGTGCCTAATGTTCCGCATAAACAACATTAAAGAAAGGAAATATGTACATTATGTGTGTCTGAGTAATTTTTGATTGAATGTATGCATAAATGGAAGTTTGGGATTTAGGAGTAGGGGAAGCAGGGTAAAGACTCGAAGTGATTAACTTTTGTTCTAAGTCACTAACAGTCTGTTCCTTGGAAAACAATAGCATAAATATCCTAAATGAATGAAGAAGTAGATGAAAGTACAGGCTATGCACAACACTGTGTTATTATCACCATCAAGAAAGCAAAGAATCAGCCCCAAAGGAGTGGGAGGAATGTAAGAATAAACAGGAAAATGTCCTTGAGGAAACAAGAGAACTGAAAACTTCACTTTGAACTGAGATCCAGGAAAGCCATTCCTGTTCCTGACTCTCTCTTTACACATGTGTATTAGGAGAAAAGTTGTATACAAGAGAAAAGGATTTGCAGAGGCAATGCTTAATGTTCATTCTGTATCATTTTAATTATCATACACATTTATGTATGCATATGCACACACACCCATGAGCAAAATTGTTCCAGGGTATTAGAGTTGTCAAGAAACAGAGAATTAGGTAAATTGCCCAATGTCACAACTACAAAATGTAACTACAAAAATTCAATTCAAACTTGTAACTTCTGTTTCAGTCTCGCATTGTGTGTGTCAGATAGTGTGTGTGTACATGTGTGTGTGCATGCAAACAATCTTTGTCCATTGTCCTGAGCACAGCTTCCAAGTATTCTCTAATAGCTAACATCCTGAAAATACTCATTGGATGAGGGGATATTTGTAATATTCCAAATGTGGAATAATTAACAGATTAACCTGCATTTCTTAAAAGGCAAACAGTTTTCTAGCTTTTTTGTTTTGAACTTAAAAAAACTACATAATGGTCTCAATGATAACTATCAGAATTACCAAGGAATAGAGATATAATCTATAATAGAGAATCTGAATTCAATTGGGAGTAATAAGGCTACCATGAAAATTTTTTGTAACTTATTGCTTTGCCATGTATTGTGATACATGTACATGCTTTCAAATTTTATGCAAATATCTATTCTACGACAACATGGAAGATCACTGTGCATGAGTAACTAGCCAAATTCCCACAGCTCAGGCCTGCTTCACACCAGGAGCAGCTCTTAAATGCTTAGCTTGGATATTGCTTAAATATGACTGCATTCCCCTATATTAGCCATCAAAAATAACCCACTTCTACATGTGCTGGTATTAAGTCAGATGCATATTCTTTGTTCTTACCCAGAACTTGTGCAAAAGTACAGAAGTATGCACTTATGATGAAACATACGGCTTGTAATTATTAAAACCTCTTTTGAACTGGCTCTCTAGAAAAGCAACAAATCAATTTGGATTAATTGTAATATTCCTATCTTGATTATTTTGGAAGTTTTACTAGGAGAAGAGAGCCTTTATCATTTTCTGTCCTACAATGAGGCATAAAATTAGTACAAATTTGCTTAAATAGCTATACTGCTCTGCTTGTAATCTCTTAAGGTTTTTGCACTGCCTACATTTAAACAGTATTATTAGTTCTTTCAATAATTATTTCACCACTCACACTTTAAGGAATGTGTGCTTTCACAAATCAGGCAATGTGCAAATTCTGTCATAGTAAAACATTTATTTGTTAAAGTGATATAGATTATTCAAGATTCTACAGTCTGTTAAATCATGGATGGCAATGTAAGATGGATTGATACAGAACTTGATGTCAATGTAGGCATTTTCTCTTTCTTAAAAATAAAAAATACTTGTAGGCCAGAAGAAAAAAATTTGGTTTTGAAAGAGGATGAACCATGGTCTGACGGAGTCAGTTCCGCCAGTATCAGAGACTTTCACCTCGGCTCCTGTAGACAATTTCTTCTACGACACCAGTTCAACAATTAGCCTTTGTGAATTGAAACATTTTTGAATTTTATCCAGTAAAAATATCAGTGGCAATTTTTTTCAGTAGGGAGAGGAGAAGTCGTGCTCTTCAGATTAACTCCAGCCTCTGAAATAAAAGAAAAAGGAAAAGGAAAAAAAAAAAAGAAAAGAAAACACATAGCTAATAAGATCATTGTGCTACCAATCTAAAAGTTACTGAACTGTAAGCACCCAGGCAGGAGTTTATTGCCGTGAAATGCAACCCATACCCATGAAAACTATCTAAACATGCATATAAACATATAAAATGTTGCTTGGTAACTTCAAATCAGCGACTATATAAAAGTATGTTTTTTTACAATCTAAGTTTGTGAAGCCTAGATGATTATGTAAAGTCAAAGCCACATTGTAAAATGGCATTTTCTCTCACTTTGTTTTTCACATATATAATTTCAAGGTAAGATAAATAAATAATAAATAGTAATTGCAGTTATTAATGCATGCTACTCAAATTTTAACGAACATTTATACTGGTTTTTAAAATGCAAATATATTAGGTCAAATTTGTTCAACACTTCTAAAACATAAATTTAAAAAATTATTCTGCTAGAAAATGTGTATGATATTAAAACTTTACAAATATTTGATTATATATTTAATGGTAGTAAATTATTCATCTTAACTAAGTTTTTCACCCACAAAACAAAATAAATGGAAAACTCACAACAACTCTTAAAGGCACTCCCTAGTTGAATTAAATATGATTTTGAAAGACAGTAACATAAAAATTATTTTACAAAAATATTAAACATACAACTGTGAAAATACTTTTCCTCTGTGTTCTCAGTCTTCATGGATTTAAAATATGTCGAATGAAGTCTGCTCCTTATGAAAATGGAAAATAATTTTTTGAGAAACATATGCTTTCATATACACGAGCACAACTTTTTTTCTCTTTTCCATTCAAAGACAACTTCATGTTTACAACTTTCTATTTGGGGATTATAAAATGCATGGCACAAATGCATCATGAAATAGAGATGAGTTTATTAAATATTCTATATTAAAATGCTGATGTAGAATATCTTTAGATAAATTTATGTGATAAAGTTATTAAAGCATATTAAAGGTTATTTTGGTAACTTTATGTGAAGGTAGGTAAAATACTGTAAAGATATTTTATTTATTTAAGAAAATATTTCAAAATAATTGATAACCTGAATAGTGAAATTGATTTTAGCAAAAATAATTTTGGAAAGCCAACAAGAAAGGCACCATATATGTGAAGATTGTTAAGGGACCAGTGTATATCTTACTTGTAATAAAAAAGAATTACCTTGATAAAAGCTACTGAAATATAGATATCATTATCATACATCACCTGGAATATACTAAGAAAAACATTGCAAAGTCACTGTAAAATGTAATGGTATATATTACTAAATTATTCGTTATTTGGATAATAGCACAGCTCATACTGGTAAAATTGGATATCAACAGTTTTTCCTTTTTATATTGATGTACTCCCTTTGATATAAAATGATGTTATGGTACTATACCAAATGTCAAGTTAGAAAAAGGAATAACATAGTAAAAGTTGCAATATACCTAGAAGGAAAGTGACAGTGGACAAAATAAAGTTTCTAAGTAATAAATATTTCCAGGATAGCAAACTTTAATTTAGTATCAAGTTAATAATTTTATAACCTCATATATCTTAAAGATTTACTTAAATTTCACATTAAATAATATTATTAACAAACTGTGAAATATAAATGCTACTAATTTTGAATATTAGGAAACAGCAAAAATTTTGTGAACTATGAAGTTTGTGTGCCTTGAAGATGTAACAATATCACAATTATTAAACAATTTGGAGCCAAATAAAAACTGGTATTGATAGAATATCCAAAATAACACTTTTTAATTTACTCATCAATAGGCAGCTCCTATAGCAATTCTATAAATATCTAAACATAAAACAAAAAAATTACAAGAGTATTAAACAATAAAAATAATTCAGACTAAATGTGGTGAAAATGTTATAAAATCTAAAAATAATCAAGTTTTAGTAGGTTTAGGATGTTTTTGCTATTGTCCTAATTTAACAGTGAGTGATATGATGCAAAAAACTGTGGATAGTCTTATTAACAATACTAAAAAATGAATAGGAAATGTAAGCTATCAGAACATTAAGAGAAGAAAAAAATGAATCAATGTGGGAAAACATTTATTACTACCCTTATTCTGAATGCAATTAAGAACTGTGAGAGGTTTTGATGTTTTATAGATAGGATTACTAAACAAGGAGATGATTTCTAAACATCATTGCTGACTCAAAGTTTCTCCCCCTTTTTTAAAAAATTTGATTTAATGTTCAAATATATGTGTTAAAGGCATGCTTTACTATAAAAATTGCCAAATGTTTCCTAAATATGTGTTTATTCTCTAACTCTTATTTTTAAAAATTACTTCCAAAGAATCATAGAAACCTCCTCCTGCAGAAGCAAATATTTTTCATTGATGACTCTCACCTGGAAACTTATTGAAAGCATATTTACATCATACATAAAATTTGCTTTCTCTTTGGCTCTTATTTTATGTATTTTTCTAACCCTGTCTTTTTCCATATTTTTAACAATGTTGTTATGTATTTATAATCAACATTAGCTTTTTATCAATTTATATATTAATTATCTAAAAAACTGTACTCATCTGTAACAGATTTTATGGCAAAGTTTACATTGTTGCTTGATAGTAAGTATGGAATAATCACAAGTCAAATTTATTAAAAGCAGGAAGTAATTATCTTAAAGGCCTGTGCAAGCAATCAGAGAATAAGCTAGAGCTCTTATGCAAAGCTTCACACACACACACACACACACACACACACACACACACACACACACACACACACAAGCATACATGTTTTATTCGTCACAATACAGCAAATACTTCTTAAGAAATTTTATTTAAGGCATTTTCAGTATAAATGCAAACTTCCCAACTATTTCTAACTTCACTACCAAACAGCATAACTAATGTTTTACTGTGTTCATTGTAAAGATAAAAATATTGGCCAAGCACAACGAAAATTTATATGTTAATGCCAATTTCCACGTAGAGTCATCAGCATTAATTTTATCAATAATTCCTTTCCCCTTTGCTCTCAATTCATTTTAGTGTCATTAAAATTTTATGATTATATTATAAAAGAATTATATTACATTTCAAGGTCACTCTACTTCTACACACATTCCAAAAGGCTTCTAAAAAAGAAAATTGGCAGGGGGCATGTTATGAATAGTGGAAATGAAATAAGTGTTTTAATTCTCTATGCTTAGAAAAAAATTCATCTGAACAGATACCTCAGTATGATTGGGTACAGAAAACCCAGAACTAAAAATTTGCAATCACAAAAGGTCTCTGCCTGCTCTCCTCCTCATTTCATTCACAGTGACAATGTGAAAGGCAATGAGATAGCTAAAAACACACAGGTCACACACTGTCATCAGTAGAGGCATTACTGTTTGATCTGCTCAAATGGTAGACACAGGCCTGCTGTAGCACAAATCATTTACCAAGGATCAACAATAGTTACCTTGGGGTCATAGAGTAACTTAAATCTAATAATAGAAAGTTAGCAAGGAGCTGGTAAATAAGTGAAGGATGTATCCTGAAAACTATTATTTGTCTTTGGATTTGTTTTACTTGCTAATATTCATAGAAGGAGGAACAAGTTAGCCTAAGTAGGAAGGGAAGTTTTCTATAATATTATGACAGCCATTATTTTTAACGATATTTTCTTAACTTTTTGTAATACTAATCACTTTAAGATAGTCATTATTAAAAGCCTTATGTATGTATGTGTCACATTGGCAAATTTTGTGCTATATCTAGTGGTACAAAGACTTCCAAAGAAATTAGTTATCTCCAAATTCCATTTCTAATAATACAGAAAAATAAAAAAATAAGCATAATTATATATAATATGCCCTTTCAAATGTGAATTTTTAGGAAATTCTTTAAATTGATAATTGAAAAATTACTTAGACATTTACGCACCTGCTTCCAAATTTTGATACAACATTTAGTACCATTTTGGCTTGTGTTTCTTATAGATTAATCACCTTCTTCTAATCCTTATCTCAGGGTATCTTAAATTTCAGGTTGGTTGCATATGATTTATTAAAGTTAAATGATAAATGAACTTTAAAAATGAAAGATAGTGAGAGAAAGGAACAGAAAGTGATGGGTAGAGCTGGGGGAAAGAAAAATGAGAAGAGAGGTTAAAATTGAGACTGAACAAAAGGGGTGATGGAGAAACAAGACACCTTCATGCAGGTCAATTCACTGCACGCAACAGAACACAAAACATGTGCCAGACATTGTGCTATTGATTGTTTCCAATGAGCCATCTGCTCTTTTTTTGCAACATAAGAATGGAATTCTAAATTCAGTAAAGAAATGATGCATGAAAACATTTTGATTTGTGGATGGAATTCATTAGGGAAGACCCTGAAAATTGAAAAAGTTATTTTTCTTTTAAATATAAAATGTTAAAAACCAAGACCCTATTTTTACTACCAGCAAATAAATCAATGACCTTTTTTAGATCTGTTAAAAGCAGATTTTGTGTGTGTGTATGCCAAACCTCAAGCAAATGGCTGATGCTTCCAGCTGTTTGAACAGATTGCTAAAGTGCTGCTCTGCTCTGGAAACACACTCTCCAGTCCAATTAAAATTCAAGAATCAAATACTCATTTCAAACATCAAAAAAAAAAAAAAAAACACTCGAAGAATAATTGGTTGCTGACAAAGGAATACCATGAATATTTCATATGTAGTCTTTTGCTCCATTTTAAAGAGGCTTCTTTCATTTTAGATAACATTGAAACATTTCTGTTCATCTGTTTTTAATGAGGCATGTGTCATCTCAGCTCTTATTAGGGTATGGAGGTCATGGATAGGAGTAAACACATTCTTATCAAGGTACTGTCCTCACATTTGGAAATATTTGTAGAACTGCATATTACATCACGTATGACTACAAGAGTAACTCCAAAGTTGTATGCATTATTAGTATTTACTTTATTTCTTAGAGGACAAATCAGAGATGTTTAGTCAACCCAAAATATCTCTGAATTTAGAAACTGTAAATTCACTTAACCAAACTAAACTTCAGTCTGCACTGTTGAACACTGTAAGTAAATTCTAAAAGAAAATTTCAACAAGCTACACAAATTAACAAACCAATTACTTAAAATTAACTTATGAAAAGTGTATACCCACTTAAGTGTTGAAGTATGTTACAGGTAATAAGAATCTCACCTGTGTTTCCTGGACAATCTGGTCAACATTAGTCAGCAAAGCATCTGGGAATAAAATGTTCAGTGTCATAAACAATTCATATTTTAAAGAAATAGATTCAAAAAACTTCTTACTGAAATCTTGGTAAGACTTTATACCAAGAATTAACAAAGATTCATCTAAAGTTTTTTTTAAAAAATTTACCAGTTTATGGGTTAATTGCAATCGACTTTTATAATATTTCAGTTCTCTATCACTACTTTCTTATTCCTAACGCTTAAAAATTGAATTTTCAAAAATGTTACTTTAATAACTAAAATGAGTGATTTTCAATATGGATTTGCTTTTCCTGACATTGTTCAATAAGATAATCAAATTTTTGTTCATTTTCGCTATTCACAGTTGGCATTTCAGCTATATAGATTCATATGATTAATATCCAAAAATCATCAAGGAAAAAGAATTCAAAGCAGAAAATATAGTTTAACTATGTTCACCATATATAGTATAAAATAATCATTTATAATATTAACCATCATTCAGCACCCACTCCCCAAATAATAGCTCATGTTTTAACAAGTACCTATTCATCCTTCTGTAAGACACTAACATTCTAAATACAAACGTTCTTCCTTTAAATATTTATATGTAGGTTTCAATTGCCTATAAATGTTTAATACCATTACATAAACCTGTGCAGCACACATTCTATTTCTTTCCAAAATGTCTTCTTCTCAAGCAAATCTTCTAATCATTGAGAATTGACACATGAGAGAAAACTAGGAGCAAACATTAAGTCCTTAGGTTTCACAGGTGAGTGTCACGAGACTGAGACAAATTGCTTTTTACAAAACCTTCAGCATAGATATTCAAGTAAATATACAATGGCCATTGGAGATTAGATTTTACATAAAAGCAATAATAGGACATGTTCACATTGTAGATGAAAAAATGATTACACAATTGTATTATGGTAGAGCCAACAGCCAACATAGTATATTTCATAAGCTCCTGAGTTTACTCAAATAATTATTTATTAGACATATTCTATAGTAGAACATAATATGTACATAGCCTATGTGTCAGGTAAAATTAAATGTACATCACTTTCAAACACAAATACTTTAAATGAAGGGGCCAGCATGGCTTTTTCCTGAATGAATTTGAAAATATTTTGTTTTTAGACTTCATGAACATAACAGTCACCAAGTTTGAAATGGATGAAATTAGGTTATAGAGGTGGTTATCATTAAAAATGCATAAAATTAAATTTGTACTTTATATTCTATTGTTATCTAATAAGTAACAGGTATAATTTTTACAGTTTTTCTGGGAGAAGTTCTCTGATAGCCAGCCCATTCAAATCTATGTTTTTTCATGTAATTGCAATTTAATTTATATTGCAGGACATAAAATTATGATTTTAGCTGATTAATATTATGAGTAGAGATATTTATATGTCTATGTAGTATATATACAGCCAGATATTTGTGGAGCACATATATATTTATACAAATATATGTGATGTATATATTTATTCAATGTTAACTTTAAACCCCAAATTTTGACTTTGAAAGAGCTGAACATAATCAGAAGACAATCGTTTTAAGTATACCATTACATTTACCAAAGTAATCAGTGATTACATTGTTATATTGACTCCATGTGTAATTTGATGAATTTCCCAATGCATTACCATTACCTTAATGAGGTAATTTACTACTTAAATATATGCCTTGTTATAAATTGTTACTTTCTATATCCCACTTCAGATAGCACCACATTTTTAGGATGGCTCAATCACAATATGTTTACCACTCTTTTTATATTTTAAGTGGGCTTCTGTATACTGCTACAAGAATTGATTGTTTCTGTGGGAAAACATAATAATAAATGAATAAATAAGAAAGATATGAGCAAACTAATTTCATTCATAATCCCATTGTGTATTTATCTAGCATGGGAAGAAAAAGACTGAGTAACCTGTCCTTTGAAAGTAAAAATTCAAATATTGATTTTGATCATTTATTCTTTTCTTAATGCCATTTTTAAAATGATACATTTCTTATCTATAAATTTCATCAAATGTCACTAACATTCTAAGGTAAAGTGTTATTATTGGCAACATAAGAGGATAAGAAAAATGTCCTTTCCATACACAATCCACCGCCATGCAGAAGCCCTTTCCTCAAAACACTTCACATTCACACAGAAGCATACATTGTTAAAATAAAACCACTGGACTGTTCTTGAAACACGGGAAGGCTGAGCAAGGGAAAGACAGTAAATAGTCTTCATTCTATCTAACAAAAATGAACAGTGTTTTCTTAGCATTATAAAATGCAATTGGAAATCAACTATGCTGAGAAGACAATGGCTTCTGTTTGCTATCTTCTTAAGAAATGTCTCATAGGTTCACAATTGTACCTACAAGATGATCCTTTATATTTAAGTATTTTTTAAAACTCCTGGAATTAAAAAAATCCTTAAATTTATTACTATAACAAAAGAGAAAAACTTAAATTTAGGAACTAAACTTCTAAAAATTTTAGCTTTATGAGTGATATAGTTTCTTTTCAAAACTATAAGCAAATAAAATAGTAAAATTCATATGAATGCAAGCACTTTTAATAGAAGAAAAAGTACTTTGTAAAACAAAAAAAAAATATTTCTGGAGACAAATGGAACACATTTATGTTTTTGAATTCTTTACAAATTTGTGGAGAAAGTATGCATCTTTCAAAGATTACACTTGCTACATTTAGAGATTTCTTAGAATGGTTCAAAACTTACATTCCAAAATTTTAAGTAAAATATATCTACAAAGCAGGTAAAAATCACTGTTTTAAAGCATGAAACAACTTACTGAAACCTATGGCTAGAAAAAAAAAAAAAAGGAAATAAGTTGGCCACAGTTCAGGTGTTACTGTGTCTAATTTATTTATTCATTTATTTACTTTTCTTCTTCCTCTCTTTGGAGATGGGGTCTCGCTCTGTCGCCCAGACTGAAATGCATTGGGGGGGATCTTGACTCACTACAACCTTTGCCTCCTGGGCTCAAGCAATTCTCCTACCTCAGCCTCCCAAGTAGCTGGGATTACAGACTCCCCCACCACCATGTGCCTAGCTAATTTTTTTGTGTTTTTGCTAGTGACAGGGTTTCACCATGTTGGCCAGACTGGTCTTGAAATCCTGACCTCAAGTGATCCGCTCCGCTTGGGCTCTGAAAATGCTGGGATTACAGCCGTGAGCCACTGCACCCCGTCACTGTTTCTTCTTTAAATTGTACTTTATTTACTTATGTATTTATATATTTTTAGGCTAAAATAAATAATATCCTTCAAACTAAAATATACTGCTTCTTAAAAGTTTTAGGCTGCTTTAGATGCTTCATTATCCCTTTATGACACTTCTGTAATAATAATTTTGTATTTTCAATTGAGGGATAATTATTCAAAAGGAACAAAAATAATGCAGGAATGCAATTAAAAATATTTGAAGTAAAAGTCATTTAAAATATGCATAATGGCAAACACATTATTGTGTTTGTTTCTCACATTGAACAAGCTGAAACTAGAATGTAAAATACAAAAATGAAAAAACATAACATGGCCAGACACAACAAACAGCAAACCACATGCTTCATACAGATGACTGGCTAAACGAGGAATACAATAATAAATGACAGGAAGGAAAATAAGAAAAGGACAGAGAATTTGTTGCTTATGGTAATATAATATTTAGATCACAAATCTAATTAATGAAAATTCTTATTTCCACACCTTTCTCCCTATCCATATTTATTTATCTATTTATTTACTCATTTATTCATCTAAGCAACAACTGTGTTTCAGATATCAAGATAGGTAATATTATTCCCAAATTTTCCATAGACTTACTTTTCAATCACTTCACAGTGCAATTACTTTAAGCAAAAATGTCTTTATATGTTTATAAACAAATAAAAAAAAGTGACCCTCTTGATAATCCAGTCTTTTGTTATTCTCTCAAAATATAGACTTTTTGAAGGGCAAAAATCTCAGGCCACATATTCTCCTTTCCATCATTTTTTTTTTTTTTTTTGGGACGGAGTTTCGCTTTTGTTACCCAGGCTGGAGTGCAATGGCACGATCTTGGCTCACCGCACCCTCCGCCTCCTGGGTTCAGGCAATTCTCCTGCCTCAGCCTCCTGAGTAGCTGGGATTACAGGCACGCGCCACCATGCCCAGCTAATTTTTTGTGTTTTTAGTAGAGACGGGGTTTCACCATGTTGACCAGGATGGTCTCGATCTCTTGACCTCGTGATCCACCCGCCTCGGCCTCCCAAAGTGCTGGGATTACAGGCTTGAGCCACCGCGCCCAGCCTTCCATCATTTTTTAAGAACAAGTATTCAAGCATTTGGTTTAAATATTGTAAAAATGGTCATACTAAAAATATATTAAATAACATTAAATTATTTTCAATGGTGTTAGTCAAACAAAATAAATCTCATATGGTTAAATATCATGTAGTTTTAAATGTCTATGAGAAATATAAGATATTTAATCAAAGTTTCATTAGAAACATAAGTAGGAAATTTTCTTTTAAAAATACTGGAAAATACAAAGTAAGCTCATCAGTAACTTAGAGTACATATGTTAACCTTGCTAATGTTGCCTGATTTCAGAGCATCCTTATCTTTGATCACAACCTTCATAATTTCAGAAATTCTTTGGAGATTCATTTCTTTAAGTCTTAAAAGCATTTGTATGTTCAATATTTTTTAATACTAGGCTGATAAATCTAAGAAGGGTAAATTTAGTTAGCTTCTACCAATCAACACTTTTGTGTTGAATTGTGTAATTGATGTTCATTAAAAATATGAATTTTTGCAATTGATGTTAATTAAAAATATTTAGTTGGAATTAGAGCATTACTACATTAATGGTGCTGAAAACATATTTCACTCTGAGTGCTGCTTTTGATTTCACAAACTATTACCACATGTGATCTCATCTATTCCTTAAAAGAAATACATAACTGAGCAGTGAAAGGTGATCACACCTTGCAAATGTGAAAGGCAAACATTTTAGAAACAGAAGCAGGACAGAGAAGGGATTTAGCAAACACCTAAATAAATAAAAGCCCACTGGATAATTATTTTCAACACTGGCACTGAAAGTAATCTCTAACTGCTTTAATGTTACATGCTATTGAATACCATCATGATACATTGCGTATGAGGAGATGTGGCTCTGTCAAGTTAAAAGTAACTGAAATTGTTGTAAATGCTTCTAACAGAAGGAAATTAACAATCCAACATTCCTCACTTGTGTCTTAAGTGGTATTTCAAGTGATCTGAAAAAGTTAATAAACTTTTACTGTGTGCTTAACTTACTCCCAAGGAGTACTTAATATAAGATAGTAAAGTACTTATCTTATGATATTATAGCTAAAATGACATTTATTTTGTGGAAAGGAATTGGTCTAAGTTCTCACATGAGACTTATTCTCAAAACAAAATAAAATGAAACCTTTTTGATGTTAACCCTGTTTACAGATCTTTAATAAAACACCATTAAGTTAGCATGTAATTAAGTTTTTCAAGGAATGAATAGAAACATTTATCTATAGACCTTGATTTCAGTAAATTTCCAAGAATTCCACCTTATCCAGGAGCAATATTAGTTTCTACTATATTTAAAATCTTGTTTTAAAAAATGATGTATTCCCACTAATTGGCATGATTTCTAGTTGAATTTATCACAGTTTTTGGTTAAAATAGCAAATGCATTTACTTTAAAAGAAAAACATTCAAATACAAAACTATAGTGCAGAAGGGAAAACACCACTATCTGCTTAATGAACAATGACTTATAAATATAATGAAAACACCATTAGAAGCTTTTAAATGTTACTTGCTGATAAAAATAAACACTCCTTTGATAAAGGCAGTCTTCTATGTTTGTCTCCCTCTTACTTGCATTAAGAACAATATAAAACTCACTCATTCAGAAAATGTGTATTAAATGAATGAAAACACCTTCGTATTATTAGAGTGTTGATGAATCCAAAATAAATTGTACTTTTTTCTCCTTTCCACTGAAAAAGCTGTGTCATGGAGGAGAAAAATCTTAGAACCATTAAGGCACCTGAACCAAGGATGCTGTTTAGAAGGGAATTTATTTTAACATTATCTCGGTATACTAATTGAATATTTTATTTTAAATAATTTAGCAACATAAAGTTGTTCTACAACATTTCCCTAAAAATGAAGGCAACACTATTATCATTGAAAGAAAATATACAGCCTACTTATTAAAAAATATCAATTATCCATAGGTGGCCCATAGTAAATTTGGAGAACATATCATTTTATGCAATGCTTGCTTTTTCTATAACAATTTTTATTTTTTAATCTGCTGTTGCTAGTCCTAGAATAGGGAAAGGCACTGCTGCTATGTCATGCTTTTTCCCTCATCCACTTTATTTATGTTTCCTTCCAGTATACATATACATACATACATATATACAGTTATATATGTATATATATATACTGTACCTGAGAAGGTTTATTTATAGACAGCATTGGAATTGCAAATTCCAATTTTCTATGTGAGTTCTCAAAATGATTTTTCATGAAAAAGAAATAATAAATGACACAGAGCTTTCCAGTAGCCCCTCAGAATTTGAGAGTTGCTTTTCCACTATGACCATCAGAACAGTCAGACTGAATAAACATCCCATTCATAGACATGCTTCTTTTAGAAAACAGTCCACATGTGTTCGGTGAGTTAATATAGCAATAGTATTCCTTTAATTCTCCATTGAGGGAGTACTCGTGCCTTGCTCTGGATCTCTCAGCAGGCAAAGTGAGAAACTTACTTGGCTTTGTATGTGCTCTTTTAGATGTGGGCCCCTCTCTGACAGAATCGGGAGGTCGGCTAGCTAACTGCAAGGCAGTTGAGTTGTTCCTGTTAGTGTTTTGGGACTCAACATTTGTGCCAACTTCATTCTGTGGTTCGGTACTTGGCTTTGGGCCAGTCTTTCTTTTCTGCTTTTGGGACACAGAAGTGCTTGAAGTCCAGGAAGGAGGCAAAGCAGAGGTAGTGGTAGAGGAGTCCTGACTCGAACAAGTTTCTGAAGATTGAATCACATTGTCAGTGGCAGCTTTACAACACTGGGCATTCTCTTCGTGTCCGACAGCTTGTTTGGACACAGACTGGGGCAACGTTACACTGCAGCCTTGTATCTGAGCCCCGTTAGTTTGAGAATAAACATTGCTAACCTTGGTGACCTTGTGTTGCCCATTATTGTTGCAAACCTTATACCGGATCATCAGAATGATGATGAATACCAGCACAGATGCTACAATTATTCCACCAATAATAATAATCATGGTGCCTCCCAAAAATTGGGACTGCATGAAATGGCAACGCACATAATCCTGTTCCGTAGTAAACTGGATGCAACCCACGACTCTTGTGGCAGTGAGGGAAGTGATGCCATCATCATATATGGCCAAGACACATAAGTCATACATAGTTCCGGCAGCCAGATTATTGACCAGAAAAGTTTTGCTCGTAGGAGGTATCATTCTGAGGGACAATGGAATTTGTGTTAATATTAAAAACAAAACAAAACATATACACACAAAGTCATTATGACCTTAGTTTGGTGTCATTTTAGTATTCATTAAGATAAGCATATTTATAACATATGAAATATTGGAAAAGTATCTAATCTCATATTTACCCAGTTAAAATGGCTAAAAGTCACTGTCAGGGTCTGCACTACATTCATGTTGCCTGGACCAGGCCTTCACAAGCTTATTAATTATGTTGCTTGGCAAAGGAGGACTCCTAATAGAAAACACTGCTAAAAAATCATTTATGACAAATTACTTTTGAAAGGTGTGACTATGACATTATCTGACTACTAAATAAATCCATTTAACACTTAGAACACCTCTATGACTAAAAGCCAATTTGAAGGAAGGGTAAATGTTGACAATCGCATTAGAAATCAGAATAGAAATGCATTTCATAGCATTTATTTTCCAAACCAGTAAAATGAAAGGGTCCCCAGTACATATATATTTAATAACAAAGAAAGATTATACTAAGATGAAAGTATTTTCTTTACAAATCTAACTCTTTTTTAGTGCCATCATCACTTGGACCCCATTATGTTTTAATCTATAAATGGGCATAATGAAAATATGTAAGTAATATTATCCTAGAAACATGAACAAGCAAGGCTGTTGGCCAGAGCATGAATCCCTCATCCCACAGTATGCTACTGCAAATTTCCACCAGAGAACATTTAATAAAGTATAAGAGTCTAGGCGAGGCGCAGTGGCTCACACCTGTAATCCCAGCACTTTGGGAGGCCGAGGCTAGTGGATCACCAGAGGTCAGGAGTTTGAGGCCAGTCTGACCAATTTAGTGAAACCCTGTCTTTACCAAAAATATAAAAATTAGCCGGGAGTGGTGGCAGATATCTGTAGTATCAGCTACTCAGGAGGCTGAGACAGGAGAATTGTTTGAACCCAGGAAAAAGAGGTTGCAGTGAGCCGAGATGGTGCCATTGCATTCCAACCTGGGTGACAGACCGAGACTGTGTCTCGAAATAAATAAATAAACTAATTAATTAATTTTAAAAAAGAGTTTATAGACATCTCTGAATCAACTACATTCTAAAAGTTTCTTGTTGATGTCTGTTTTCCACTGTTTCTTCAGTTGCAACCGAATATGACCTAACTTAAAAATAAATAACAGGCATTACTAAGCATTTTTTTACATTAAAATTTAATCTTTACAATTATCTTATGAGACAGGCATTATCACTATTTTACAAATGACAAAAAGTTAGGGTCAGGAATTCAAGTAATTTCTTCAAGGTTACACAGAATTTTACTTGTCATAGCAGGATTAAAATTCTGGAATTTGGAAAATAAAACCTGGCTTACTTCACAGAGCTAATGTTTAAAATATATAGAATATCCAATAGCTACAGAAAAGTGAGGGGTGAGGAGGGGTATTTGTCCTTGACAATAGCCCATGGGTTATGTGAAGAGCCTGGTATGACAAGAGAAAATTACTTTAGGTTAATATACATGTAGCATAGTCCACATTACCATATATTTAGTGATGGAAGGGTATTAGAGACCTTTAGCTAATTTCTTCCTTGTAATAATGAGGAATTGAAACTCAGCCAGGTAGAATCCTCCCCAGGACAGGTCACAAGACTAGCTAGGATAGGTTTAATTTTGCCTACTAGTCTATGCATTTTTCTTAATTACTCTCATTTCCATACAGGAATGAAAATAAAATTATATTGAATAATTCACCTGGGAACATAGGAACTGAGCTGGTCTGATTTCTGACTATCTTAAACAGAAAATATATATATTTCAAAGCCATGGTTTTGCATCATTTCCCAGGGGGTAATAACAGTCTCTCACAGTGGAATTATAAGAAAGGGTAAAAATGTGTATTTTTAACTGAAAATTGGACAAGATGTGACTATAAATCAATGAGGCTGAACTTTAGAAAAACATACCAGAAATTCTTTAGCAGGTGCAAATTCTCCATCATCATCCTTACTTGGAGGTTACATACCTAATTCCAGTGATACTTTCGCTGCTCAAATTATTTATAAGGTTTCTTTTTGGAACTGTCTTAAGAACCAGTACACATGAGACAACATGACCACACACACACACACAGACACACCCCCCCCCACACACACACCCCTTAATCACTCAAAATCAGTCTCATTATTTTATAGTTACATCCTATTTTTGACCAAAAATGGCAATACCCATCTTGATCACCCACCTTATTGACAAGACTTGACTCCAAATGGCTTTTGCTTGTTTCCAAAATTCAAATTCACCCTCAAAAGACGAAGATTTGCCACCACTGAGGATATTCAAAATAGTATGACGAAGGTTCTAAAGATAATTCCAAAAGTGCTTTGAGCAATGGCAGCATCATTGGGATAATGGTATAGCCTCCCAACGTGACTTCCTTGAAGGAAAGAACACTCATGTGGATGTGTAAGTTCTGGTATGTTTTTGAATTTTTATAATAAATCAGTCTTGTTCTCTGATAGTCACATCTCTTAGATGAGGGGGAAAAAAAGTAAGTGAGCATATTAAATATAAATTAGAACTCTCTAAAATTAATACCATTCAAAATATCTCCCCACCTGTATTACCACCTTTTTCAAGGCTTACACTATGCACTTTAAAATATGAAATTACAACACAGAAGAGCACTGCCAATTAAAAAAAAAATCAGTAGTACATTAACAAGTTCTACACTAAGAGGCATGGCAAGTATACAAATTTGCTTAATTTTTCTTACCTGTAAACAAGGGTGTCATCATAAGTACCATTGTACTGGATTTGAAACATACGTATTCCAGGGATATTTCTTTGAAAATTAAATTTAAGTAGTGCTGTTGATGATGTAGCTTCTGCCACCACAATTTTATCTTGACTCAATTTTGTATCACCATTACTACTGCTCGTATTAGACCCTGACTTGGTAGAAGTTGAGATATCTGAAGAACCAGGATCAGGCTCATGGATATGGTTTGTACTGTTTAGTAAGTGAGGGAGCTTAATTATATGAAGATCCACTATTTGTGTTGCTTCCCCAGCAGGATTGGAAGCAATGCAGGTAAAAGCACCTGTATCCTTTACAGTTGTTATAAGAATATCAAGTGTTCCGTTATCATATACCAGAGATCTTGTTGCATTTGAAATAAGCTTCCCTTCAGGAGAAATCCAGTGAATTGCAGGCTCAGGGTCTCCCCTGGCTTTGCACCTCAGTGTTGCCCTTTGTCCCTCCAGGACTCTCATCTCATGTGTATGACGAGTAATGAGAGGAGGCTCACACAAAAACTCTTCTTCAGGAATTGACCAAAAGTAGCGGCCAGTTAAAAGTGGAGGAGAAGCACAAGTTTCTAAGTCATCTTCTCTGGACAGACGCCTCAACCACAACAATTCACAATTGCAATGCAAAGGGTTTCCACCAAAACTTAATGCAAAAGTAGATGGGCTTATGATTCCTGAGGTTGCTAGTACCTGAGCTCGCTGGAAGAGAGGATCAGGTGGTAGCTTCTGCAATTTATTTGATGTCACATCTAACCGAGTCATCTTGTGCAAATGGGAGAAGGTCCCCTTAGGAATGTTATCAATCATATTGTGATCCAAACTGAGGGTATGCAAGCTAACCATCTTCTCAACAGCATCCCAAGGAATGGTTTCTAGATTATTATAGGACAGATCCAGCTCCTCAAGGGCGAAGACATCATCAAATGCTGTAGAGGAAATTAAAGTCAGCTGATTGTTGTTTAATATCAAATGATGAAGATTGGAAAGACCACTGAACATATCATTTGTAATTTTAGTCAATCTGTTGCTATTCAAATGCAAAGCCCTCAAATTTCGTAGGTCAGCGAAAGCATGAGGTGTAATAAAACTTATTGTATTCCTGGATAGAGTCAGGTCCACCAAGCTGGTCATATTGGCAAAATCTTTCCTTTTAATATTTGTAACAAAATTGTCTGCCAACCGAAGTTCCACAGTTCTTCTGTCAATGTTTGGTGGAACAAATAAAAGCCCTTTCTTGGCACAAAGGGTTGCAAGATTAGGAGACAAAATCTGACAGACACAACGCTTTGGACAGATCTGAGCTTTCACTGCTATGCCAATGAAAAACAGATAAAAAAGAATTTTTTCCATTGTAGATCAGATTTAAGAGCCTGTAACAGAAGACACAAAGTAGAATGTTAGCATCTAATGATTTAATTTATATTCATATTTCCACTAGAATAATATTTTTATGCAATCTAGAACAAGAAATAATTTCACTTGTTTACTTAACAAGTATTAATATTTATTCTGTGGTAGAGTCTATAATAGACACTAGGGATGAATAATATGGCATTGATAGTTTCATGGGATTTAGAATCAAGTGAGAAAACAAAAAAGTCAAAAGATTATTATAATTCTGTAAATTAAGGGCCATTTTTGAAGTTTGTCCAGGGTACTCCATGGGTGAACTAAAGAGATATCCAGCTCAGATTGTAGGCCTGGGAATTAAGGAAAACATCCCCTAGACTCTAAAGGACATTTTTTTTACATAAAGATATTTTTAAAATTAGAATATATTTAAAGATTTGAAAGCAGGTCAATTCAGTAGCCTAAAAGGAAACAATAAAGGACAATATTTGTTAGCTTCCAGAATGACCTTTGAAGATAACAAATTCTGGTCTAATTTTTTTTTTCATCTTTACAAACTGTCTTGGCATAGATCAATCTTCACATTTTTTTTAAATTTTTTATTGTGAGACGAGTCTTGCTTTGATGCCCAGGCTGGAGTGATCTTGGCTCACTGAAACCTCTGCCTTTCGGGTTCAAGCGATTATCATTCAGTCTCCTTGAGTACCTGGGATTACAGGCACCCACCACCAAGCCCAGCTAATTTTTGTACTTTTAGTGGAGACAGGATTTATTATGTTGGCCAGGCTGGTTTCAAACTCCTGACCTCAGGTGATCCACCTGCCTCAGCCTCCCAAATTGCTGGGATTAGAGGCGTGAGCCACTGTGCCCAGCCCACCATCACATCTTAACTGGAAATACAAAAATTGTATTCTCAAATATAACAAGGTTGAAAGTTTTCCACAATAGCTCCAAGTTTCCGAAATATTAAAATACTTCATTAGTTATAAATATGGATTTTTAAAGATACGCTCTGAAAAGCAGCCACCAGTGCTTTCACTTAACAGTATGTTCTTAAAGGTATCATATTGTTATCCTTCTTTTAAAATCTCAATAAGTTTACATGTATCCAAATTTAACAAATTAACATTTCGACAATTTTCATTTTTCTGTTTGATCTTGAGTTTTTTGTATTTAAATCAATCTTCAAAAATAAAAATAATAGCATACATGTGATTAAAAGTTCTCATGCATTGCATCAAATTTTCTTTTCTTTTCCTTTCTTTTTTTTTTTTGAGACAAACTTTTGCACTGTCACCCAAGCTGGAGGCTGGAGTGCAATGGTGCAATCATGGCTTACTGCAGCCTTGATCTCCCAGCTCAAGTGATCCTTCCACCTCAGCCTTCTTAGGAGCTGGGACTACTGATAAGTGCCACCACCCTTGGCTATGTGTGTTTTTGTTTTTTTGGAGACAGGGCTCAAGCTCCTGAGCTCAAGGATTAAAGGCATGAACTACCTTATTCAGCCCATGACATGAAGTTTTAAAACCATGAGAGAAAATAGCTGTAGAAAATCATACATCTTTCAGCACTTTGGGAGGCCGAGGTGGGTGGATCACGAGGTCAAGAGATTGAGACCATTTTGGCCAACATGGTGAAATCCCATCTCTACTAAAAACACAAAAATTAGCCAGGCATTTGGCATGCTCCTGTAGTCCCAGCTACTCCATAGGTTGAGGCGGAAGAATCACTTGAACCCAAGAGGCAGAGATTGCAGTGAGCTGAGACTGTGCCACCGTACTCCAGCCTGGCAACAGAGCAAGACTCCGTCTCAAAAAAAAAAAAAAAAAAAAAAAAGAAAGAAAGAAAGAAAAGAAAATCATACATCTTTAAAACTTAATATAAATATGAAATATTAAATCATCCTGGAAATATCATGCCTAGTTTTCTAATTAAAGCATATTTTATGACTTTTAATTATTGATGCCTTTTGTAGGATAAAAGCCCCTGATAGCAATAACTTAAACATACCCTTAGAATGACCCCAGATTACATGCACCTGAATGTGTATCCTGAGCTAGGGAATCCAGGAATGGCCAATCCGGAGATCCATTCTTTGTCTAGGAGAAACATTTGAGCCTCCAGCCTGTCAAATGGAACATGGGATGTACAGGGGATTGAGGTCACTGAATTTTGGGTTAAAAAGAGGCGGCCAGATGGAGATCCTTAAGGGGAGGGTGTTAAATGCTATATAAATTGCAAGCAGTTGTGGTTTTCCTGCCCAACCTGCTGCCACTGGACTGTACATAAGGGAGATATGTTGTCTAGCCTGCCACCACTGGACACTTCTCTGTATGTAATCCACTAATCAAACCCCATGTCTCATTTGCTGGCTCTGGGTCTCGGCCTCGGCCTCTTGAACCTGAATCCTTACCTACTGAGGTTAATAGGTATCCGGCAAAACACCTATTGGGTGCCATAGGAAATGTGGTTCTAGTTAATAAAAATTATCATTATCAAAAAATAAAGATAGACTCTTCTGTTCATTGCTAACTTGTATTAAACTAGTGTTTCCAAAATAAGCATTAACAAATAAAATTATAAAAATATATAGAACGACAAGTGTTAGATATTGGAAACGATTAAATACAGAACTGTTGGAAACGATTAAATACAGAACTGTGATCCTTGAGATCGTGAGTTAAAAAATAAATTCTATAATTACTCAGAAACCTTTTCCAAATCACAGCACAAAAAGGGGAGACAAGGCAAAATATGAACACTCTTGTTAAACTGAAATTACAAAGAGCAGAGAGTCTCAGGTGGCTTGAATTTGTGAGACGGTGTACCAGAGAAGAGAGAGTTATTGAATAAGAGCTGGTAATCTATGTAAGTGGAGGCAGGGTAATAGGCACAAACCATCCTGAAATACTGATGAAAAGTGATGAAAGGAAAGTATGCAAAAATCCAGTGACCTGTTAAATGGTATTAAGAAATCAAACACACACATAATTGCAATATCAGAAGGATGCTATTAGGCAGAAATATGTTTAAAGAAATAAATGCAAATAATTTATTGAATGTCATAAAAAATACCAATCTATAAATCCTAGCACAAGACAATGAAATCATACCAAGACATATCATTGTCAAATTACAGATAACCAGACGAAAAATAATCTTAAATGTAGACGTAGATATAAGACAGATTACAATAAGGTAAGCTAAGCAAAACAAAAGTAACTGCTGACTCCTCACTGACTTCTCATTGTAAATAAAGTGAGATGGAAGATAATGAAAGACATCTTCTAAGTGCTTCATAAAAAAAGGAAAATCTAGCAGCCTAGGTGGGATTATACTTTTATAAAATAGGAAAACAGAGAAACAGAGTTTCTTCACTAGCAAACCTGCACTTATATGAAAATGTAAAGGATAGTGTCTTTAGGCTGAAGAAAATTATATGTGATGGAAGAAAGTTGAAACTTTATAAATAGATGAAGAACAACAGAAATTATACATCTGTAGATATGTATGCAATATTTTCATTGTGTTTTATTATGTTTATAAAAGCTATTTCTGGAATAAATATAGAAAGTAGTAAGAAATCATCATTGTCACTCTAAACAAACAAAATAAGCTGGATAAGCTAAAAATCATATTTTTAAAAATAGTAACATTGTAACATTTGAAATACAAAGAAATGTAAAGAACCTAACTTCCAGGAGTGACAGTCCTTGATAAAAGGGAGGAAATACATAGCTGCTGCTCTACTTCCTCCAACAGAAAGGAAACTAGCACTTCCTATTCAACATAACTTGGGATAAAAATGAAACCTACCTACATTTTACCAAACATTTAAGAATGTGTTTTTGGGTGGATATAACAAAATAGAATCCACAAGAGCCCCAATAGCAGTAGTAAGGAAGTATTAACACCTGTCTCATTCTCCTTACCTTCATTGAGTAACAAGGATGGTAGTTTAAAAATATGGGATTAGAAAAAGCATAGAGAAATTTCTCTCAGATGCACCATTTTCTTTTTTTTTTTTTTCCAGAGAAAATTGAGGAGGGATAGGAAAATTGAAAGAAGTCTTTCAGGCAACCCTGCTTTTCAGCTTGGAAAGAATGGGAAAGACACAGAGGAACTGGAAGAAAAATACAGTCACTCAGGGATTTCACCTATCAGGACTGACGGAGGAGTGGGAGAGCTCAGCCCCCTTCATTTCCATACAGATATTTCTTATTTTAACCACATAATGCCTAGGGTGACATTGGGCAGCTGAAAAATCCTTCCTAAATGATATCTCCCTATGTAGACTATGGGGTAGCTACAGCAAAGAGCCAAAAAAAAAAAAAAAAAAGGAAAAAAGAAAAAAACTAAGGGTGAGATTCCAGATCAAAAAAATCTCCTAGGCTACCAACAAATGTGGCCCCAGAGCTTATAAATCAGGTTGATGAGGCCTCCAGAAATTTGGAAATCAAAAGATTCATCTGTAAAACAGAGATAGATCTGCAAAACCACTACAGGGCACAGATGTCAGGTTTTACTAAATAGGAAATTCCCAAACACGTGAGAATTCACATATGAATTTGAAGAAGCAAGAAAAAGTGACCAACATTAAAAACGAAGTGATTCATAGATACAGACCCAGAGACACCCCAGATATTACAATTACCACAGGGAGCATAAAATTACTATAATAAAAATTCTAAAGTGTCTACAGGAAAAGATGGACATCATGCATAATTTGATGGAAAATTTTAGGAGATGGGAAAAACAATTTTTAAATGTATATGATCTAAAATACGAAAATATCTTATTAACAGAAAATTAGGCACAGCAGAAGAAAGTATAAATGTACTTAAAGACAAATTAATGAAAAAAATCTAAATTCAGATTTTTAAAAAAGCCTGAAGAAACAGAACAAAAAGTATTAGATTTGAGTGCAAAATATGTAAATGAAACTAATATAATCATAATTTCAATCTCTCTCCAAAAGAAAGGGAGAATGGGGCAGAATAAATAGTAGAAGGAAAAATAT